AAACAATCATTTAGAATATTTGTTGTTATTACAAAATCTACAATTATAACATTTCTAAAAACATAAATTAATAAAATCTTTATTAATTGTTTAAAAGTAACAATCTGTTTGAAATAATCAAATTATATCTACATAATAAACACAAATTATTCAAAATAATTTTATTTCTTTGTACAATTTTAATTCATTACAAACATCGTTATATACAGGATCAAATTTATATTAATTTGAACTCAAATCGTATAATTATCACCCTGTAAATCCAAAAAACGTTTTTATTTTACAAACGTACGATAAAAATGACTAATTTTGTGCAGAAATGTATTCCTTATAATAACTATTCTATTTCAATCGTATTATAAATATATACGCTATTTTGTAAAATGATAACAGACAGAAAACACATTTAAGTTAAATAAACAACAGAAAAATCAAATGAACACAAAATCAACAAACTTGAGCAATGATCCACTGTATCTTTGTCTAACTTAAAGCGTTTTTTCCTTATACTGTTCCACGTATTGCTGAACGAACGGTGATTTATAAACTCGTAAAGAGGCAATGGAACCGGCACACGCACCGACCCAATAAACTATCACGTGCTCCATGAAGGAAGTTCCCAAACATCCGTACTTCAAGGAGGTGGCCAGTGCAGGATTGAAGTAACCGCCGGAATAATCGAAAGCTGAAATCAATGAATGAAAATGGAACAACTATCGATGAATACATTGATAAGTATTCAGAAAATAGTATATAAAAGATCCGATTTATGAATACAATATTATATTGAATATCGAATACTTACGACAAATTTAATATTTGAATATTTATTTATAGAAATTTTCTTGAATCGAGAAAAGTGAGGAGTAAATATAATTGTAAATTTAATTAAAAATTTTTTAATAAGAAAATATTTATTTAATAATTTTTAAATATAAATTTAATATTTTAATTGCACCTCTCTTTCAAAAAAAAATTTGACATGTGACATATAATATAATGTTATTAATATTAAAAGAAGAATAGATAAGCAAAAGGATACGTTTAGTTGAAAAAGAATTCATTCAAATGTTATCCATTATTTTAATAGAAATATTAAATGTTCTATATGTGATATAATTATTTATTTGTTGAAAGCGTGTGAAATATCTAATATCTATCTATTACTAATTACTAATTTCATAAAACTTTTTCTCATTTCTTTAGCTATTTTAGATACAAAAATTTAAACAATATAAAAATGAATAAAATAAATAGATATAATTTTAAGATTATATAGGCAATTAACCAAACCTGCAATAACTAAAGTAGTTCCAATAAAGGAATCGATAATAACATTAATCCTTGAATTTATCTCGCTTAAACCACGTGAAACTACTCTGTATATACAAGTTGCCACACATTCGATAAATGCTCCAAATATTACGGGTACCTTAAAAATAA